TGAGAAGTGGTACCCAAGCAGGGAAAACCTCACTACATCCAGAACAGGTATCATCTCCACCCATAACTACTGAAAAGGGTGGTATATTACACAAGTAAGTAGGATGGGCCAGGCCCACCAACGCAGCCGAGATTCCATGACTCAGGGCTGGAATTAAGGGGTCATGGTACCTATATCCACCGTTGGTGGCAAAGGCAGTTGGACCACAAATATATACATATCTTTATGATAGGATCCCCACCAGCAGCCACAGAATGATCCATTTCAATCAACCAGATTTAAGAAAGAAAGAAAGCAACACCAAAGTGGACAATCCTCCTGAAGACATCCAAAAAGCAACATTCCCGGTTTAGATTGATGGGATTATATATGCCATACTCCACCCAAGGTACAGAACTCATCCAGTCTGGATTTACGAACAGTCATTTTCACTCCCCAACCAAGTGGGCAAGGAGAATTCCACTTACCCATGAAATTATGGAGAGGATGTGGAACACTGTTCCACCAAGGGCCTAAGATGGGACAATGTTGCATTCAAATTTACAAGGAGATAGTGGACCCCCTGCATGATCAACCCAAAACCTGACAGTGTTAATAAGAGGGTCCAAGCACACCCCCACCAGATAGCTAAGCATCAAATCTGGACCAGTTTCACGAGTAGGCTCCCACATAGGTTGATCCTGCTCCTACCAACATCTGGGAAAAACTTCCAGGGACCCAGGTAGGAGGGTCCCCAACTACACGGTCTCTGATCTGAGAGTGGAGAAAACTCAACACACCGAAGGAAAATCCTCTGTCCACCACCCCAGCGACTGGGAACTGGGTGTGGTAAGGACTCCCTAGCACCACTAATAGCAGTAGGGGGAACATGTGTGTGGTGGGGAGTCCTGAGGGACAGGTCTTCAGAGAGAGAGTGCAACAGGTGAACCACGTTTCCTAAGTTTTAAAAGCAAACCAATCTCAACTGATTCAGCTCTAAGATCAGCAGGAACTGGCAAAATCCCCTTTAGCTTTACTCATGATAGTCCATGAGTAGTGGTCCATTGGATTTGCATTGCAAGATAATACTACCATCTCGAATTCTGACTAGATGGTCTTATGGAACACCTCATCTCAAGGATGCTAGTGCAGAATTGAAAAAATTACAAGCACACCTGACTGGGCAACACTTGCCACTGAGTGGGATCCAAAGAAGAAAAACTGTTAATCAGATAAGAAAGTTACACACTTTCTTGTTAAAATCTAGCAGAGGTGGTCAACACAGCCATTTGGGGGGGGGGGGGGATACGGAGTATATTTAGGCAACAGATAACCCCGAATCATCTATATAAATCAACCCAAAGTCCCCCTGCTTAATGTAATGGGTGATAAATCCAGGGACACTGCAGTATCCCACTGAATAAAAAGCTGGTGCATAAGGCCCCTGAACAGTTCCATAGAAGCCACAAAACATCTAAGTGCTCTGACTGGACACAAAAAATCTGGATATGACAGATCGTAAAGATAAGAAATGCCTGGGAAAAGAATTTATTCCCTTCTCTGGCAGCAAGGGTGTTTAGTAGTAAGGATCTGTCGGGATAGAGAAAAAAATAGGTTGAAGGATAGATAATCTGCTGAACAGGGATGGCAAATAAATCAAAATAGCTGTGTCCAGAAGCTAACAACAATAGAAATATATCTCAAGGAAAAGGTGATACAAAGAACAAGAGGCCATAGATTTGAAGGGATAAAGTGATAATGCATGAAAAAAACAACTCTAAAGTCCCAATTAAGCAATTGAAGTGGTCGTTTGGGATGAAGAATATGAAAAGATCATAAAACAAGATAGCACAAGAGTCAAAAACCTTCATATATGTAGAAGAGCGAAAGGGAGCAGTGAAGGATGCTGTATATAATGCAAGGTAGAAGCCAAAACTTTCAAAAATACATGTAACTATAGAGACTGTTGGATGAAGTGGGTTGAAGGCTCACCAAAGACACCACTGACAATATGTAGTCCATTTCCATCGATAGATTGCCATAATAGGTTGATGGAGGTTATAGTCAAATTATCGGAAAATGTAAAATTTAAACCCCTATGGTCGGACAAAGGACTGCACAACTTCCATGCATGAAGCTGGGGTCGTTAAATGTCCAGGTGTTGAATGTTGGACTGATGTTGTCTCAACAAGGATGAATGTAGAAGTTGTGGTAAACATTCCTGGAGTAACTGAAAAAAGAGGAAACCATGTCTGAGCAGGCCAAAAAGGTGCTGACAACAGAACCCAACATGAGGTGAAATGAATCATAGACAAGAGTATGGGTAAGAGATGAAGTGAGAGAAGGAGCAGAAAACTGTGTCTAAATTCTCCCCAGTATATTCAGGTTCACAATGAAAAGCCAAGTCTGAACCACCAGGGAAAAACCCCTGAGTCACATGAAGGACTCCAACTCAACCTGAATCAGGTCACAGACAGTCTTCACTGAGAGTGGACCCCCACTCCCAACTACCACCAGACAACAAAGGAGGAATGGATGAGGCCTGGTTAACCCCCCATGCCAGAAACCGTTACATGAGAATTCAGACATTTTTTTTTTTGGAACTGCAAAAGAAAACCAACAAAATATTGGCAATAGGGAAAAAAAACAAAAACATCAGAGTACTGTCAAAATGGTTCAAAAGAAAATGTGAATTGCAAAACATAACTCCTAGCACTAGCTCTTTGTCAAGAAAAAGTGGTTATATTGTCAACATACAGTACCTGCATGTGAGGACTGGTGTAAAGTTTTGCAAATTAGATATTGCCAAGGGCAGTCAAGTGGGGTATATAAAGACTGGAGCAAGCGAACACGATGTTAAGATGGCAAAGATGAAGATCGAGAAATAGCTATAGCTGTAATTGTAAGCGGAGGTATGCATGTTTTGGAAGAAGTGTTTCATATTACTAGTTACATCATTATACAATATTTATAATTTTTATGAAAATCATAGTTTTGTAATTACTTGAAAAGAGTGGCTAACAGAAGGAAAATCAAACATTTTTTTACAGTTTATAAGCTTACTATGTATATATGGATCAAGAATTTGCAATATGCTGTTAATATACTTTATCTAAAATACAATTATAAAATAAACATAATTTTAAAAATGGTTTAATATGGGTTTTGTAAAAAAGAAAAACTATTATTCATTGAATGCAATACTACTGAGAAAATACAAGCAAAGTTTATAGTTTAACTACTTACATAGACTGGCTTGTGTTTGTTAAGTCACATTCATAAAGTTAAACAATGACACTGCTTCCACTAGAACCATTTCCTATAAAGTTAAACAATGACACTGCTCCACTAGAACCAATTTCCTATAAAGTTCAACAATGACACTGCTCCACTAGAACCAATTTCCTATAAAGTTAAACAACAATGACACTGCTCCACTAGAACCAATTTCCTATAAAGTTAAACAACAATGACACTGCTCCACTAGAACCACTTTACACTGCAAAGCTCCAAGTAAATTAAAATCAGGCTCAAGCAGCCATTCATGACAATTGTTTTTTTATATTCTAGAGTTCACATTAGATAACATTTAACTTAACACCTTTGAGGTGTATTCTATGAATGTCAGTATGTTTTGCAACATAACACTTAGTGGTTTGGTGCAGGAAAACAGTTCTGCCAACAAGTACATATTAAATATCTTCCTTCACCCATTCTCTCAAATGAATGTAAGAATGGAGGACTAACATATATTTATAACTAATATTGTAAAAGTGATAGTAAAATTACAGAACAACATGAAGTCCCCTATGCAAACAATTGTGGTACAATTATTTGAAACCCCACTTTTGTACACCTTTTAACTGTAGAAACCTTACAAATTTCTGGCATTAAAAATTAACTGTACTCAGTTCTTAGTAATGATCTTCTCTATAAATGAGTAACTTTTAATTGATTTATACATATTTAATACTATCTTGATGGGTCTTCATATGGAGAGGGATCAAAGAGCATGTCAACACATTTGTAGACTTAGATTTAAAATTTTATTTAACTACTATTTTATGAATGTCAATAAGTTTGGTATCACATTATAAATTATAACTCAAACTTTAGTATTATACATTAGTTAATTTCTTAATTTGAAAGTAAATATTTAAGATAAAATCCTAAATATCGATTTTTGTGTGTGTCACGTGGTATGTTGAATACAGCATTGGTTCAAATTAGATGTTTGTGATGTCCAAATACAAAGTCTATAGTTTCTTATGAATTAGAAATTCAAATTGCTGATACCGATAAGCTAGAATATAAGATAAGAACCTCCTAACACTTTTATTTTCTGAAATATTATTATATTTAGTGAATCAACCAAGGTGGCCCCACCCAACTCTTCCATTTTTGGAAATACTTGCTTACATACACCTACTTTCCCCAATGACATGTGTTTAACCAATCGAAAGCTCAGAATGTCCCCCATATGCAAGTCAAATCTTTTCTAGAGAAATGAAATATGATTCTGTCGAATGTATTTACTTCAATATCTATGAAAACGTGCTGATCATACAAAGGCTTGAATTATGAACAAATTATGCACTTATCCCATTTTTTCTTTATTCCTCTTCATGAAACATATACCTGTTTACAGAACTTTATAATACTTATAAACTTCATTACATTTAAATAAGATAAAACAGAGAATGTGAAAATAAACATAAAACAATACCTAAAAAAAACACTAACTTGAGATCAAGCTATACATTTAATTGTTCAGTATTGCAACAACTGATTCACTGTATAAAATATTGTGGCAGTATTTATATAGAGCTAAACATATGACCTTACCTCTAACAGGGGTGGTTGGTTCACTGTAAAATTCAGAGTCATTTTGAGAAGTGGCTTCAGCTAAAGGTGCCGTTAAGATGCGATACTCCATAAGAATATCCCACAATGCATGAGTTATGGCTGCTTTGAGTTTACTTGCCAGCTGATCCATATCCACTTTTCCAACACACCATATTTGGAACTGGATCAAAGCCAATGGTCCTGTAAGTTTAAGAACAAATACAACATCTAGATTCCAATTTATTAGTCTTCACTTCATTAGTATAAAGCATCGGATGTCTTTATAGGAAAATTATGCATTCATTCATATATATATATAATTTGCAAACAAATATACTGTATTAAATTACAACATGCATCAAAAATATTTAAGTAACAGAAAAAACAAAGTCACCATAAAATAATTATAAACAGTGAAACAATCAGATACTTTAAACTGGAAGATTACTTTTTATATTTTGCTTTTATTTATTCTTTTCAGAAAACTATAAAACCATGATGAAAGGTCAATATTACTTTCTTTCCCAGACAATAAATTTCGTAAAAAATAAAAGAGAAATGTCGTCAGCATATATTTCATATGTATAATTTGTGAAATTTATTATGGCATAAAAAAGACCAAACAAAATATTATAGAATTATTAATTTGCATAGTTTCTTCAAGTATTTTTAAATTTTTATTTTACGTAATATCAAAAAATATCAAAACACTCTTACTAGTTACAAACATGTAATAAATATAATAAACAGAATCCTTTACATTTAATGCATCTTGAATTCAGACAAAATAAGAAGCTGTTCCATGAACCACTTTCAAGAATGTTTACACATGGCGGCACACAGATACAGCTGTAGTACACAAATCATACTATGTGTTTCTTTTTTTTTTTTACTGTAGACAAATGAACATTTCCAGTTCATCTAAAACTTTTGAAATGTTTCACATATGTGTGCATAAAGGTATGGGTAAAGTTCAACAACATGTTGGTTGTTTGGGATTTATTGGTGCAAAGCAACTTCACTATCTGCACCTAACAATCTTTAAAGAGGCAAAAAAGAAGTAAAATAACACAAAAAAAAGTAAAATGAAAACAAGCTAAGAGCTAAACAGTGCCCATAATCATGTCAAAAATCAAATAAAAGTAAATAGCCTGTAAAAAGCTAAAAACATGATCATTTTGGACAGTGTCACCATCACCAATGACACTGAAAAAAATTAGGAGAAAACCGTTAGAACACACATCCACAATTGCACCGCTGCTCACAGTCGTAATGACAGCACAAATTTTAGTAACGTAGGTAGGTTCTGGAATGTACATAACATGTGGTTGCCTTTGATATATATTGTTATGGGTTGTTACTCTCAAGTGTCACTTAAAGCTTTAACATGGCAGAAAAGGAAAATCATGAAGTCCTACAAAATTTTAATGTGAGATATGTATGACTTATTACCCTAATATCCATTATTAATTTCACAATAACATTTAATTGATGTATAACCATTTTATTACAGAACATCTGTTCATGATTCAAAAATTTCAACATTAATGCTGTATATAATTTGTTCAATTGCTTATCAGTATTTTATCAGTTCATAAGAATGTATATTGATATTGATACAGCCCTACTATCCACTCTGTTTCACAATGTTTGTTCACCATTTTTGTTTTTTTTAACTCAATCATAGTCAGAAACTCAATTAAATTCTACACACATTTTCTGCTATTTCTCCTGCTGTTCAGTTAGTATTCATATTTCTCAAGGTTAATCAATGTAGCTGATAACACACTATTAAATGCATTGAAATGTACACAGAAATCATTTTTTAATCTAAATAAGATAGTCTTGATTACTTTATGAAACTGAGTATCAATTATGGTTTCAATTCAGTACAGAATTTTACACGACCATGGTACTTACTAGCACAAACTAAAAACATGTTTAGTAAATCCCGGCCATACTTCACTGC